ATAAAAATAAATCAGCTTATGATTGGTCGAAAATAATTTTCTCTGATGAAACCAGTGTGGAAATTGGAAAGCAGTCAAGGCAGACAAGAGTTTGGCGGCATCCTGGAGAAAAGTTAACGTTAATTATTTGGCACCTACCTTTAAAAGTGGACAAAATCTGTAATGGTTACTGAAATTTCCAGTCTCCTTAATGACAACAATATCGAATCCATTCTTGAACAAATAGCACCTCGATATCCTGAAACTATAATGACTGCTGAGATTGAGACCAGCATTCATACAGATCAATTAGAAATGCCAAGTATTGCAGATATCATGAAGATCTTATAAACACCACTGATGAAGATAATGATGAACAAGAATCAATGAAAATTAGTATGAATATGGGATTAGAATATGGAATGAAATTTTTGCATTCTTAGAACAACAAGAAGAGGGAATAAATGAAGAAAATGTAATTAGTTTTAGGAAGATATTAAAAGTTGTAGATAAATACAAAGAAGCAGACAAAACTTTTTTAGTAAATAATCGTATAATATATTATATAATAAAATTGGTTATACTAACATTTCTACTTTATTTATATATAATGTTATTATATCCATAGAGTAACATTTGGATATACTAACATGAAAATGCTGGTCCCGATCATGTTACTGTAAAGAGCGTTGACTGTACCACGACCAGGATTCGGGAATACATTACGTTCAACATTTTCTTAGGAGTTACCCATTCCAAATCATTGTTTGATGCCATTAATATGATTAAACATAAGGCTTATTTTCTGGATTAAGAATGAATGCTTGCGCAACTAAAATATGGACACCGATATGTTTACTTACTAAACTGGAAAATGATTGTCATCAATCGTCGCACAAGAAGTAACCAAAATGTACTACAAAAAAATAGACGAATAAGAGAATAGATATTCATTAAATGCCTCAATCTCGAGTCCCTAAATTGAGATGACTGTTACCACCTTCCGTGACCTACGACAAATGATCTTATCTTATTGGAATCGGGGCCAAAAAAAATACATGCAGCAACAAAAATACAAACGTCAACTATCTATTACAACCTAAAAAAGCTCGGGAAAACTGGAATAGTAACACAGTCAAAAGGGGCGGGTCGTCCGAAGGTAATTTCGCGAGAAATGTCGCAAAAATCAGGTGGCAAATCCATAAAAAATCCTTCTATATCAACAAGAAGTTTTGTGGCAGAATTAGGTGGAACAATATCCCAACCAACTGTTTTAAGAAATTTGTGAGATCACGACTATAAAAATGATGTCCCAAAAGCTTTGCCAATGCTTACCTTGCAGCATAAAGAGAAACGGATGGAGTGAGCCAAAAAACACATTGGAACAAAACTTTTTTTTACAGCATTCCAACTCTTCCGTAACACAATTGGTCAGTGACATAAGGTACTTTTTAGTGTCGGATCATGTGATCTTTTAAGAGTAAACCAATCAAACCAATGTTATACTGTTATAATGTCACGTGAAATAGAATCCTAACTACAATTCTAATCCCTATTATCGTTAAATTTATTATATTGCGATTTGATTGGTTTACCCCTTAAAAAATCTGATTCGACATTTTTTTTGCCGTGGCTAGGGTATTAGATGAATCTGTTCTTTATCCAAGGCTGTTAATATAAAACATGGAATCTACTTTTTAAATTTAGATCACAGGATAATAGATTCCAAACCAATAGAATTATGGGAATTATGGCTGATGAAATCAGTGTTGCATGTTCTTTATCCAAATATTAAAGTTACCTTTTTTGTTTCCTAAATACTTACGCATGCAAAAACTCTAAATTTAGTAATTATTATTTAAAATTTTTTATTGCAGTGCATACATACTATATTTTATAAATCCCAATAAACGCTAATTTTAGTATTATCTCTGGGAGGTTAGTAATTTTTATCTCCGGTCTTTATGAAAGGTTAATATAAATAAATCGTGTTTTATCATTCGAAGAAATAAATCACTTCTTTAATCTTTTCTCAATTGCGCATATAAAAAATCTAATAAAATGACTAGTCCTATTATTAATTATAAATTTTTAACCGATACTGAAATGCAGATTTTACAGCAATGCACATACCGATTGACTCTCTCGATTGACGAATTAACAAAACCAACAAAAAGACGCCTCGATTCTGACAGGCCACCAAGGCCGCAAAACAGTTGGATTCTTTTTCGAAAAGACTATGAAGCAAATTTACGTCGTCGTGCTCCTAACGTCATACAAGAAGTTAAACATACGGCTCAAGCGTGTAGCCTGAAATGGCAACAGCTATCAAGTGAGAACAGGGATTTCTTTAAAATGTTGGAAAAAATAGCTTACGAAAATCATAAGCGCATGTATCCTAATTATAGATATAAGCCGAAAATGAGAAAAAATTCAAAATGTAGAAAATTTATTTTTCGCGAACAAAAAAAATATCCATTTACCTCGTCACCTAAACCTAATTCGATTGGTATTAAGCCATCGTCACCCTCATTAACAAATCATAGTATCGCCCCGACCACCATAAATACGCTTCCTTCTATGATCAATGCTAATTCCCCAACTTTACCTTTTATGATCAATGACAATACTTCTTTAACGATTGACGCAATCCATTCTGATATCGTTTCAACGACTATCGACGCTTCTATGACCAATGTTAATTCTCAAACTTTCCCTTCTACAATCAATGAGGAAGCTTCTTCATTGATTGGTAATAATGAAATCGATAATAACATATTAAAAATAATGCCAATCTATTATTTATCCGATGCTACGAATGATAACAGCGTTAGAAATGGAATCAACTCTAATTTAACAAGTTTCCAATCACAACATCATTACATTGCGCCGACAACTACCGATACCACGATTGACGAAGATGCTTTTTTTTTGGTTGAAAATGATAATGACAATTCTCGTTATGCATTTGAGAATATGAGTGATATCGTAAATATCAGAATTAGCGATAGAATTGCTCCCAATTCAACAACCTTTCAACCACACTACTATGACATTATTCCGACGGTCTCGATAAATGAAATCGGCAATCCTATTATGTATCCCGTGGACATGTCACCAGAGATAGAACTATCCGATAAACTTCCAACCATGCCACCGCGACATCGTTTCGATAACCATTAATACTCTTATAAACAATAACTCTAAGGAATCAATATCAACATTAGCATACTTCCGACCACTAATATTAATAAGTTAACAATATCCTCACGACGAACCATTTTTTAATGTCTTAAGGTAAATTAACGCAGTAATAAATGATAATTTCATATCTCATCACCAAGATTATTCCACTAAACCATTATTAAAGCATCTTCAAATATAGGCTCTTTTCAGCAATTTATTTCTTATAACTTTTATTATTTTTTCCGTAAATATATAATATAAATCGATACATTTATTCCTTTTTATTTTCCCTATTTATCATTCAACTTCTTTTTTCTTATATTTAACACATTAAATGACTTCGCATGTGATTTAGACTCTTATTTTAATTCCATTAATCTCTCGTACGTTTGTACGAATCCATTTAACTTCGATGCATTTTCTAAAACTTTTTCTTGATATTTTTTAAATTTGGGCTGGCAAGCCTCGCAAAAGTATTGGGCTTTGGCACCAATAATGTTCTGCTCCCCTAGTTGTTCTGTTCGTTCTGTTCTATTTATTTAATAAGTGTTTATTTATAATGACTGCGTTATTAATCATGTATTACAGTTCGCACGGAAAGTAGTGGCGGGTGACCATAGTGGAAGATGATTGTATAAAATATTCAATTTTAAATTAGATTTTTTTTAAAAAAAAGTATTTTAACATTTAACAAATTATTTTTGGAAAATTATCATCATTAAGTTCACAAAAATTATGATTTAATAAATATGCAATTAAATATGTTAGATTTATATGAGCAGATCATCTAATGATAGGCTTGAAGCCGAGATAAAGGATAATTCTTTTTTTTCTTTTGATGTTTTAAATTCATCAAATTATTGCAATATTCAGTTTTGATTGTATAAAAAAAATTCACAAACTGATTCAAAAACTTTGAAACATTATATCTCATGATTTCTGGACTAAATCAGATGGAAAAACACACCATTTGATTCTTCTTATTAGAGGAATTCAATGATATATTTTCATCTGATTTGGTCCAGAAAATTTTGTTTGGTTTTAAACATTCTAGGGTGTTTTCTGGAACTTAAAACCTGGCCTGCGCCTGATAAAAATCGAATTTTTTTATGGATAGTAACATAAAAATTTGCAAAAATGATGAATCTTAGAGCTAGATGCAAATTGAAATTAATTTTTAATAAATCACAAAAAAAGAACAACAACAACAACAACAACAACAACAATAATAATAATTCTTTGTACTTTAGTATAGTTTCTTACATCTAGGGTAGGATTACACTGCAGCATAATAAAATAATAATAATAATAATAAAGTCAAACCTCCCTAAATGCAGCCTCTCTAAATGCAACACCTCTCTAAATGCAAGCTCAAACGCTGGCCCAAATATATACTTAACCTCCATAAATGCAATATTTCTTATTGTTCTCTAAATGCACGATGCCAAAAAGTTGGTCCGAGCAAGTTGCATTTAGGGAGGTCTGACTGTAATAATAATAATAATAATAATAATAATAATAATAATAATAATAATAATAATAATAATAATAATAATAATTTATAAAATATTGCAAAAGTAATCAATTCCGCGTTTTACAGAGAGGCAACTAATTTTTGATATCATTATTGCCTATCGCATAAATTATACGTATATGCTTTTTCTAAGCGAGTCCATAATTAATAAATTGCTCAATCTTGATGTATAGGTCGCGCAACTTCAAGCAGCTTATTTGGCAGACATTAGTTTCATGAACTCATATCTATTTAATAGTATAAGCCTTTTTTGCCTGCTTCTAATCCTTCTTTTTGGTTAGTGTTGGCATTGTATCAAATATCATTTATTGCTAAATCAAGAAATCACTTATCCGAACGTATTTTTTGTCAAACTTTTATGAAAAGATTTTCATTTTTATTTATTTTAAGAGGCTAGTTTTCACAATAGGAAATTTTCATTTTAATTAATATTCATCAGATTAAACGTATTGAACTTTATGCAATACTATGTCCGGGAGCTGCAAGTTTTTAAAATACATGGAAGCATTTTTTAAGCATATAGCATGAAAAATAATATCATTATTTTTTTTATTTTACATTTATTTTCATGAAGTTTCAAGTGAAGTATGTTTTTACCTGTATTGTCACTATTTGTAAAATTTATATCTTTTAGAATAGGAAAATATAAATTAATATAATTCATAGAACGAACAGAATGCAAAAAAATAAATTATTTATCTTTTTGAAATCTTCTTCCAATTACTTTGAAACTTTATTAAGATAAAGAGCAACTAGGGATTTTTGAGGCTTGTCAGCTCGAATTCAAAAAGCATCAAGAAAAGTTTTAGAAAATGCAACGAAGTTAAAAGGAATTCGCACAAATGTGATAAATTGTATGAGGATTAATAGAATTAAAATTTAGTGTTTTAAGTATAAGAAAAAAGTGGTTGAATGATATTATATAGATTTTGTGGAAAAATATTTAAATTTTTAGAAACAAATTGTCTAAAAAGCCTATATGTAAAGACATTATATTTTTGGTTTGGTTGAATAATCTTGGTGAATGAGATATCATTTATTACTGCGCTAATTTGTATTAAAATGGTTCGTCGTATCGTGATCGATAACTTTTTTAACGGTGAGGGATATTGTTAACTTTATATTAATATTGGTAGTATGCTAATGCTGATATCAGTTATTGTTTATAAGAATATTAATGGTTATCGAAACGATGCACGATTGGAAGTTATCGATTTACGAATAGTTTTATTGTGTCATATCATCGGATACGTAACGATAATAGTTTGACATCTCGTTGCCGCCGATTCATTTCCGAGACTTGGTAAATTAGCATTGATGATAGGAGAAAGAGTAACTCGGAATGATGTGTATCACTAACACAGAATAGTCTAATTTTCACTATCGTTATTAACCAATAAAAAAGCATCGTTGTCGATCGTAGAAGTTTCGGTAGTTGTCGGGAGCAATGTTGTGATTGGGAACTTGTTATATATCAATAATTATTGTTTCCTACAGGTCTCTCGGCAGATCTTCTTTATCTTTGATTTCGCGTGGTATACCGATATCAAAAATCTGTTCGGCTTTGTGCCATCAAAGAAAATAGTGAAATAAATGAATTAAAGAAATTAAATGTGCGTATCTGTATCAGTTGGGATTGATATTAATTTCGAAGTAAACATTTCGACTGGTGTAAATTGCATTTGAATGGATTTGTTTTTTGTTTTTATTCGTAGAAATGTTTCTTTTTTGCAGTTCAAATTCATCTAATTTTTACCATGTGTTTTAGGATATTCTAATACAAAATATTTAAAACTCCATTTCATATCTGATAGTGAGGATAGAATCGAAAGTTCCTTGGCAGTTGTTCTGTCTTCTGAAGTAGGATCCCAATATTTTTCAATAGTAAATTTATACAATCCGGGGATATAATAGTCGTACTCTTTTATAGATATCGTATACAAGATAATGATCGTTCACCTGTTACAATCTCGTACACAACCATGCCAAACCTATAAATATCTGCAGTGTTAATGGATGGCTTCTCATTTATAACTAGGTTTTTTGTTATAACCAGAGCATTTAAGAGCAGCCTCGAATCTATTGTTGAAAAATTTTGATTGTATTAGAAACAAAAAGCAACTTTTATTTTGACAATGCTCGACTTTTATCCCTTTTATAGAATTTTGGGTAGTTTGCTTTGAATTGTGTAATGGTTTCAACAAAACTTTTATTTTCTCTTTATCGTTTAAATTCATGTTGCTTTATAAAATTGACCCAAAGCCTCCTTTGGCAAGACGTTCAACGTTGTTAAATCTTTCAAAAGGGATCATTTGAATAAATTATCACATATAATTGTCGCAGTGAGAATGTATGGCATACTGTTCTCGTCTTGTTTCTTGGAAACGCAAATTGTGTGATATAGAAATCTAGCTCACACTTTAATATTACATTCATTTCGCATAATTCACCCACTGATTAAATTTTATACAAGCTAAGCTAATATGATCAACAACAGCACCGGGATGATTATTTTTACTAAATGAATAAAAGTTATGACTAGAGTTGCCTTTCAAAACCCTTAGAAATTTGACAGGTCACTGTCGAAGTTAAATTAAAACCTTGTTACCGGTTGAAAGTAAAAAGTCGAGATGGCGGAAAAAGAAGATCAAGTTGATGTTACTTGGTAATTTTTGTATTCCTTTCTTTTGAAACGATAAAGATTAATGAACCCGTCAAAACTTTTAGTTGAATTAGGCAACTTAAAATGAATGCATAGAGCTGTAAGTCAGCCTACACAGAAGAACATAACATCGAAATGCAATGAATGTCCTATTCTCTGGGTTCACTACTAACAATTGTGTTTCTTTATTATGTCCTCTATACATAATTAACATCTGTATAGCAGACATGCAAACGGGAAACTTTATTACGGAGATGGCGTTCTTTATTATAGCTTACCCTGACCTCACTCTTCTTCTATAAAGAAAAATATTATTACACTTGCCAAATTGACGATTTTTACAAGCTTATGGTTTGCTTTAGAGGTTAAACTGAATTCCAAAACTGCGTTTTTGTTGTTTTTGTTGTAAAATAATCATCACCAAACTTGTATTTTGTGTATCAGAAATTATGAATGGAATAAAAATGAAAATAAATGAATGCTGATAAACTAACACACGATGTGTGTAATTGGTAATTAATAATTGTGAATCCAAACACGGGAAAGAAACAAAGAAACGAAGTTAAAAAGAATATAAAATGGGATCTTGTGGCATGATCCTTTGGGATACATGAATAAAAGCACTCGAACAAAAGATAATTTATCAAATATAATCGTTATTTTGGTTTGAGACAAACTTGAGAATAATATAGTCAATCATTTAATAACAAAGAATGAAGAAAGGTTTTGAAAAAAAAGTCAAAGCATTAGGCGAGAAAAACATATGGCGTAAACTATCCACCAGATCATCGACGAAAGTTCGTTCCTCTACGCCACCTCCGAAAGTTAATGAATACGATAACGAGGATGATAATAATGATGAAGATGAACTAGCTGTTTACGATGACGATGTAAATTCGTTTGATGCTTCTTCATCTGTAGCTTATGATGATGAAAGCTTTACTGACGATGTTGAAGACGATAATGAAGACGACGAAAGTGATGATGATTCTAATTTAAATGATCTCCTTCATAAATATACTCGTGATAATGTCACTGGCACCTCCCAAAGGACACAAAATAATGGACAACGAGGAAATTTGGGGCTTGGTAATAGCGCTTTTGATCCGTTATTCAACAATATCAATAATGTCAATAATATGAATGCGACTAGTCAATTTCTTCCAAATATGTTTACTTCGCAAGGCAACCCTCAATTTAATTTGGATCCTAGAATATTCCAGCAAAGTCATAATTTTCTCCAGCAACAACAAATGGGTAATGGTGTTAATAATGCAGGAATTGGTGGTAGTGGCTCGAACCAGAATATGCATAATCAGAACCAACATGTAAACTTAAATAGTTTAATACAAGAAATTAATATTCCACCCGAGCTATTAAGTCAACCAAATTTTATAGAAGAGTTGAACATGCAATTTGCACTACAATGTTCAATAATGAATAAAAACATTAACAACAACAGTATTAACAACATTAATTCATCAGAAAATGGACGACCCAATACAATCTCCGATACAAATCCATTCAGAAGTACTACTACGTATGGTGTCCCACCCCCACCATACGAATCAAATGCACAGACCAATAATGATAACAAGGATAAGAAGAACCATAATATTAATAATGATGACTCTCAAAATAACTTCGGACTTGCATTTTTTAATAATAACCAATTATCTCAACAACAACAACAACAACAATATCTGTTACTTCAACAACAATTACAGCAACAGCAACAACTAATTTTACAACTACAATTACAGCAGCAGCAGCAGCAGCAGCAGCAACAGCAACATAAAAATCATCCTCGTAGAAAAAATGCAAGTGCTAGTTCTTCCCATGCCGTTAAAAGTCTTGCCACACGTCCTGTTGCTATTGGGGACAATTCTGGAACAACGCGCACCTTTAAGATTTTATTATTGGAACTGGAAAATCTACTATTATAAATACGTTGACAAATTATTTTCGAAATGGGTCGCTTGATCAACTTAAAGTTTCAATTCCTACTAAATATCTTAGGGTGACGGAACGAGGTAATAATGATGATAATCATTTTTAACAATATATTCGAGGTTATCTCTAATGCCATTATATTTATATAATTTAAGATTACAAAAAACACTCGGAAGCAAAAATCGACGATGTAACCAAAAGCCAAACAACAACTTGCACTCAGTATATATTCACGCATCCCGTGACTACTTCCTACAAATTCATATTTATCGATACGCCAGGATTAAGTGACACGAACGGAATGCACCAAGATGACAAGCATATTCAAAGAATTACCGATGAAGCAATTCGTGCAGGATCGCTATCTGCCATTGTTGTCATTGCCAATGGAACGGAGGCTAGAGTCACGCCAACAATCAAAAACACGTTGGTTCGATTGGCAAATAGTTTGCCTGATGTTCTTATTGATCATAATCTATTACTTATTTTAACAAAGTGTTCAAAGGCGAGTGCTTG